GTCTTTGACACTACGTCATTTGCGAAGCTGCAGCACCTGTCACTAAAATTGATGGCAAGTCCCTTGCGAGACATTGAGCCAATGGACTCCATAAGATTCTGTACCTCTTCTTCTCTTACGGATCTGAAAGACTGCACACGTTTGGCGCTTAGTAGCTCAAAAATGCAAATCTTTCTCAGCGATCTCCATAAATCTCCATAAGGAGCAAAGATAATACCTCCTTGACCAAAAGACATAACCTCTGCCGCCAAAACAATAGGCCTCTGCGCCAATGCAAGCTCATGTGTCTTCAACACCTCCCGGGCAGCTTTGGCAGATGAAATAATCACGGCCTCTAATTGACCCAATTTAAGGTGCATGATGGGTCCATGTTTCTTGGCTAAGTCTCTCAATGTGTGGTGTGGCAGTGGACCGACCATTTGATGCAAGTTTCCAATAATCGGCAGCTTCCATGGCCCTGGGTGGTGACTTCAGGCCTCTGGCTCTGGATCGCTTCCAAAAAATCACCAGGATCCAGACAAGGAGAGAAGTAAAAGAACAATAGGGCGTTTCAACAATTAGAAACATAATTTGATCCAGATAAGCTGTGATCACTTTCATCATAAGACTTTGGGGTATTTACTTGCAAATCAAGGCTCTTAAATTTGGATCGATATAATGAAAGTGCTAAGATCTTCTCAACTTAAATACTTGTTTTTTATTGGAAAATAAAAATAAAAAAATAAAAAATAATAATAATAAAATCATGCGGAGTGCAACTGTGGAACAACAAAATAAAATAAAGGAAAATTAATGAAAAAAATTTGAAAACTTTGAGTTTTAACGATAAGAACAAAATAAATGGTAAAGTGAATAGTACCATGATTGATTTTTTTAATGTAAAAATATGGTTTTTCGTTAAAGTGAACAGTACCCCGAGTTTTATGTCAAAACTCTCAGAAAATAAATGCATTTGGAGTGCAATGTGCAAAGCAAGTTCATAAAATATTCCACAATAATGCAGGATACATTTTTCAAACAAGATGCATGTGTTCTAACTAGATGCTTAAGTTAGACTGTACAATTTTCTATTTGCAAATGTGCCAAGTGAGTTCATAAGATATCAGCGCACTTCTTTTTACTTGCTACACGTTTATGATAATTTTTTTTTTTCTTCAATTCATTCGATCTCACAATCATAAATTAAGAAGGGTTTGTGAGACATAGAAATAGGTGTATGGATAACACCATCATTTAGAATACATTATCAACATGATATTGAGTCCCAATGTCGAAAGAGATACAAATTCTGAAACCCCCTCCCCAACAAATAAAAAAATCTTTTGAGTGAGATTGTAAAACTGCCACTCGTTTTTAACTCTACTCAATTATTTTGAAGTGTTTTATTCATGAATATTTTACCTAAAGTACAAGAATGAAGTCTGACTCCACTTACATTGTAACACACAAATTAAATATATACTTGCAGATATCAAGTGTCACCCAATAATTGATCAATTTTAATGTCATCAGTCGATTGGTATTCAAATCGGACGGTTGACTTGTTTGTCCATAACCACAAGTTCGATAATAAGCCTTAACATTTTTTGTTAATATAATTCAGTAACAGTGAAAATATATATTTTTAGAGTTGGTTTTGACTTTGTCAATAATAATGTATAAAATGGGTTTTATCTGATATTATTTTCCCCTCTGGTTCTAGCAAAAATCTTTTCAACCGTTTGTGAATCCATTCAATCAACCCACAGCGTCGCCCTTCCCTTTCAATTCTGTTATGGCACCGAACAACAAAAAGGGATAGATTGCGCACCTCTTTATTGATGATGACTTCTTTCAAGTAGTTACCATTTAGTTTATTCCGCACTTAACGATCAGATCTTTTTCACTAAGATCACCGAATCAAGTGATCCAGATATTTAAAATTTCATCCAACGATAAAAAAATTATTATAATTTTTAAGAGATCAAAACAAATAGGTCGTTTAATGAAATTTTAAAAACACTAATTACTTGATCCAGTAGTCTTGGTAGAAAAGATTCTCCGCACTTGACCTCAATGAAAAAGACCAAAAAACACTTTCACGTGCAATCATGTGCTGTTATAAAATATATATAAAAAAAGACGACAAGATTCCTTTCTTTTCTTATTGGGCTTTCATGTTGATTAAGTGGAGGTATAAATTTTGAACTAGAGCTTGTGTGGCAACGCTATTAAAATTACTGAAATCGGTTTTAGATAAAATATTTTAAAATTTAAAAAACACTTCAAGTATTTTTTTCATATTTTACCAAGGAAGCACTTCCACACGAATGTCTAGTTGTCACATGTGGTCTAAATCTATTATCTACATAAACTGACTATTCATAAACAGGAACTAGAAAAAACATTGGTTGGAATCATGATCGATGAATATGTTGTTGGGGAAAAAGAGAGGGAAATTCAAAGCTTCACTTACCAATCAAGTGGAGTAGGAGTAGGTAGGTGCCATGGGTTTTGGGTTGCATCTTGCCTGCTGACTGCTGTAATGCTAAATGCTATAGCGACCACCATTGCCAGACCTGATATAAATTGCTGTCGGCATACAATCTACATTTGGGCAATAGCTGCTTTTGGCACAGCACCATGTACTATGATGTTGGAGTTTGCAGAAGCTTGTGATATAACTGATGCAAAACCGACTTACAAGTACGAGTGGGGTGAGCTAAGAAATGCCAACAGAAAGGTGTTGCAGATAACAAAACCATAATTCCCGGATGCAAGTTGCAAGAGAGTACATCTAAAAGGATTCTCAACATACCAAGTAGAAAATTGGTTACAGTTAAGAGTATAGTATTATCGATTCCCAACTAATTCAAACAAAGATTCTGAATTAGGAAATTCAGTTTATGGGCGTATGGACGAATGAGACTGTCATCGAAGCTACTTACAAATGTTGGCCTATATATATCTAAAGTACACCATCAAAGCTACTTGAAACCCTTAAGCTATCCGACACTGCAATCAATCGGCACTCAGAATTAGACAATTCAGCTTATGAGTGTAAACGGAAGAGGATCCTCTCCAGATTCATTTTGTGGGGATCCTAGGGATCCCCCACGTCTTAACTGTTTATCGTATATCGTGCGACCAGTTTTCGTCAAGTACTATTTGTGTTTAATTTTAAATAAAGAAAGTCAAATAATTTTTATCTGCACGATACACGATGAATAACTAAGATGTGAGGATCTTTAGGATCTTCACAATTTGGATCCGGATAGGATCCAATTCCAATGTAAACATATGAGTAAGACCATCACAATGACCTTTTCGGATCGAGGTGGTCTGGTCACTTGATTGCTTAAGTTAAGTTGCATGATGAGTGATTCCCTCACATTTTTTGGGTCATTGACTAATATATGATCAGAAATTAGCATCAAATTAACCATTCTTTAATATGTGATTAGAACGTAGCACCAATTAGTTAGCTAAGCTTACTCATTTTTCTATTTCTTTGCTTACCAAATTTAGTTTATGAGCATCAAATGTCAACGCGTGGATGAGTGCAATATTCTAGTCGATATGGTGATGAATTTCCACTCTTGCGTCTTGGTTCGAAACTCTCAACTTCTCTAAATTATTATAATAGTTTCGAACTCATCCGGCTTCCCCTCCCCTTACCATCACCAAGGCTACTTGCAATTCTTAATTTATGTAATCGCACATCTTTATAAAAACACACACAATGTGTGTGTGTGTGCGCGTGTGTGTTACCTCGTACCTTGGTGCCACGCTGTTGTATCTGAAGTCAGCCTCGGCAACCTGGTGACCGGAAATCTCGACGACGAATATTGCTAGTGCTCCTAGCTCCTTTCTTGCGGCAATTCGAATCGTCAAGGAAATGTCTGTGGCGACAGAATTATGTATGAATTGGGAATTTCTAGCTTCCTCCCTTGAGTTTTCTGAACTAGTCTATTGGGCCATTGGGTTTCCTTTTTCCGGGTTTATATTTAAACAATTGATTTGTAGACCATTTTTTTTTCTTTTTTTAATAACTCTTCATGTGATAATTATTAAGAGCAATTCTAGGCTGACCAATTTTATAACCAATTTTGCAAATTTTATGACGATCATTGATAGAAAATAATCATATTAATCAACATTGAAGTTATAATTCAATCATTAACAACTACGTCATCTAGTTTGCAAAATATAATTTAAATAGATAGTCTCCTTAGCATTACCGAATTATTAATTAATCATTCTAATAAAGGAGGTAAATTTGAGTAGAGATGTCTCATCGTAAACTTGAGCATGTTCTTTTTAAAAGTGTCTAATCATTCACTAGATTAAGCTGTCATATCCAAATTTTTTTTTCATATCAAATTCAGTTAAAAAAAATTAAAACTTAAATTTCCATATGACACAAGTGGAGATATAAATATAATGTCTCATATTAACTACAATCAAATAAGACTAAACCGTTTAACAGTTGATTGATTTGATGGGATTCGAGAGTGAAACCAATCCAAATCGTTCGACTAGCGCCCGCCCTAGAGTATTAATATCATCCCTAACTTATTGATGAATATTTATTCATATATATTATAAATAATTAGTCCAAATTCAGTACGTATTTTGAATAATTCAAATATTACTTTAGTCTAAAATAGGAGGGGAAATCGCACTATTCATATGAACAGTGCTTTGGACCACATTTCAGTTTATTTACAAGACTGCCACTGAATCTCTCGACTTTTGATCCCCAAGTGTGAGCCGTGCTTCAGCCAAAACAGGTGCTCTCTCCAATTTTCATCTCTTCCATACTCAAACCCTAGCCGCTCGACCTCTCTCTCTCATCTCCCTTCGTTAGCTCTACTACAACTCAAAACCTCGACAAAACACGATTCCCCTTCTGCAAAAGCTCGAGAGTTTTCTCTCTCTGAGAATTAAAAAATGTGAGCTCGCTGATCTCTCTGAGAAACCATGGCCTCCATTTTTTGTCAAAAACCAAACTCAGGCCTTGAGTTCACAAAATCTGGAGAGCTTTCTCTCTCGCTTTGCTCTCCATGTAAGCCCGAGAGAAATTCCATGGAAACATCACGCCTGCAAACGAAGTTGCAGGCCCACACACCAGCAAACTCCATCTGAAAGCCAAAGAATCCAAAGGTAAATCCCTTCGAACTCTTCGATTATGAACATCCATCGTCTTCCACCTCATCTTTTTCTTCTGTTGCTGCTTCAACCAGTAGCGATACTTCAGGCGGTGCTGCTGCTGCTTCCGGCGAAACATCACCACAGAACCACCACCATTCACTCTGTTCTACTCAGGACACACAGTCAGTTCTAAAATATCCTGTCTTGCTGTGATGGGTTATCCAGTTCTTGCATCGGGTCGTTCAAACGAGGCATTCAGGTATTGTATTTATTTGATTAATTAATTAACTATTTATTGATTATATGTTTTGATTTCTTTTGGGTTTTTTATTTTTGTATATTTCTGTTTTTCTTTAATTATTCTCTGGGATTTGGATTTTTGAGTCTTGCATTCATGCAACCTTAGGTTCTGGGTTTGTTGTTTTAGAGCTAAAGAAGATAATTTAAATATAATTTGAATCATTGAAGTCATTACTCTAGCCTCTCTGTCTCTCTCTCTCTAAACAATTTCCAATTGGTTTTTAGAGAGAGAAAGTGGCAGTAGCAGCAGTGGTGAAGGAAGAAGAACTATTCCTGTTTCTGTGATCCTGCCCTTCGAAGCTCTGGAGTTTGGCTTTGGCTCCGTTAGCTGTTGAGGTAATTATTAATCCATGCCAGGAGAGGGTGACAGTGAGAGAAATCGTCGGGATTGCAGGGAGATAAAGAGAGAGGGAGGAGTGGGGGTGGTGAACAGTGGCAAGTTAGGTTCGTGTATGCGGGATATGTGGAATAAGAATACATTTGAGAGTTTTAGGTCTTTTTCAGCGTCCCTGTTTAATTTCTGGATTTGTGGTTTTCGATTTGCAGCTGGATTTTGTGTTTGGATTTTTTTTTTTTGTGATTTTGGGGGTTATGTCTGTGTGCTTTGATCTTGCGTCTGGTTGTCTAATTTGATTCGGTTTTTTCTTTCAGGAAGCGCTGGTCATCAAATTTTGGAGCTGTTGTGTGCAGCGTTAGTAGCCCTTTTGTGCTGAGGGTATACAATTTTTGTTTTTCCTTTTGAGTCTTTTGTTAAGATTTTTTTTTTTTTTTGGTGGCCTTTGGTCTGCAGATACAACTTTTGTTTAAATTTTTGTTTTTTTCAAATTTTGGCTATTTTGTTTATGTGTTTAGATGCTCAGTGTGGGTTTATGGTATAGTTTTCCTTTTATTTTCAGGAAACGGTGCTTTTTGTTTTCTGGAACCACTTGCAGAGCGCACACTTGAGAATCTCAGACCGAAGGTAAAAGGTAAAAGTCTCTGGCTTCCTTTAGTGGTGTAAGCTTGCACGAAAGAGAGAAATAATAACCAAAATTTTATCTGAAGAGAACCAAGAATTTTGAAGCCAATTACATTGGCTTAAGAATTTCTTAGGATACAACTTGCACTCGATCGACAGTTTTATTTATTTGCCTCTGTTTTCTTGCTTGGAAAATATTATTTCCAGCCCTCAAAGCTAACCAATTGAAATTTCTGTTCGGGCAACAACCAACACATAATTCTAATAAAAAAGAAGTAGCGAGAAGAAGAATGTAACACAGAGACACATGCATGTCGAACTTCATTGCTAGATTTTATTATTTATCATAACTCAGTAAAGAAAAATTACAGACGCTGCCTTCATAGGTTTAGGGATTTATTTTAGATAAATTGCGGTGCACTGTCTGTGCTAAAAGTTTTTGGATCCAAAGCGGTCAGGATGCTAATTTATAAAGAATTTTTCTTTAAATTTTTGTGTTCTTTTGTGATTTCATTTTATCTGAATTATTCATTTAATGTTTGAGATGCACTACCTTGCAGACTATTGTTCTCTTTTGGCTATAACAAGAAATTTGATTGTGCAGATTGTATTTGTTTTGGGATCTATAAAAGGATATTACAAGGAACATATCTTGGCTGTTGATACCATACTTGGATTCTAAACTCTCCAAAGCTGCCTTCATCTGGGTTATTTTCTCAACATTCTCTTTTTCGTGTACGGTTGGTTTCGTATACCATTGCAAGTGTTAAATTTGTGATTTGTTGTTTATGTGGTGAAAAAATAGGTTGCTAGAATGATTCAGATTATTTATTTGTTACACGAAAAAAAACTTTTAGAACTCCCGGTAGAAAGAGATTTCGCTAACGAAAAAGTCTTTTATTTTTTTGTGAGACTTAAGAGGTTACCTTCTCCAAACGCATAAATGGACTTTTGAAGAAGGCTTTTGACCTCTCTATCCTCTACGATGCTGAAGTTGCCCTCATGATCATCTTCTCTCCCTCTGGCATGGCCTGCCAATTTGCAAGCCACGAGTACGTTTAATTAACAAATAATTCAACTAGCTAGCTAGGTTTGATGATCATCTTTTCAATTAATATGGTTTTGCTAACATGTAATGCAGTATAAACAGGACCATTTCCATGTATAGAGGTAAAGTAGGGGGTTGCCTGAAATCAAACAACTTAATTTTGTGTTCCAATATCACAAAGAATGGTGCAGGAATTTTCATATTTGGGTAGATTTTTATGAATTGTTCTTGAGCTAAAGGTTGAAATGATCTTATTCACTTTGATCTTTTCTAGAAGCTATTTGTTAATGGTTGTTAACTTGGCTAAATGAGTTTTTCATGCTACCATTTTGTTTAAATGTAGAAACAAAAACTAATATCCATGAAAAGAAAGATGAGTTATAAGGAAAGATGGGATATCCGTTTAAGCTTGACTGAAAGTTAGAGTGTAATGCTTGGTGATCGTCTAGCACAGACATGATACAAAATCCTAACATAATTCACCTCTCTGACTATCTTCCCCCTTTCTCTAACTATCTTCCCCCTCTCTGACTATCCCAGAGAGGTGAATTATGTTGACAAATGGGATGGTGGATTATAATGTTGTATTAATTAGTATGTTAGGATTTTGTATCATGTTGTGTGAGTTAATGTTTTCTGTTCTATGTTGTGAATGATTTTGCATTCATTGCTGCCAGGTTTTTGTCCCAGTGTTTATATGTGATCCCAGTCTTTATAGACGTGGGCTTTCAAACTAAGCAGAGCCTGAAAAAAAGTGTCAATCTTTTTTGTTATGGGGTTGTGCCAATCTTTATAAATACAATGTTTTGAATCGGCCAAAAAAAAATAAGGTTGTGATGTTGGTAGTTAGTATATGTGCTTAATGCTGCCCTCGATGCAACTTACGCTACTGTTCCCTGCACTGCTACAAGGTATGCATGCTGATTTGTACATATTTTTATTTATTTTATTTTGTAATATTTAGCAAAATCAAACATTTGATCACCTTCTTTTGATTTTGGGTTTTGGTTTTGGTGGATTTGAAATTGGTGATTGGATAACACGTTGGAATTTGAATTTTCATGTGTTTTGTAATTCTGAGTCTGTATTTGGATGCTTTATGTTAATGTGTTGGATTACCATACATACTAGCCTTACGTGACTGCCTTGATTTATGCATGATGGAACTAAATTACTTTAATAGATCATTTTTCTGGTCTTCTTACTTTTGTTGGAATGTTGTTACTGCAATCTGTTAATTTTGGATTGTTTTGTGTCATGGGTTCTGTAGAATTAGTCTCCAGTTGTGTCATGGGTTGTGTCATCCCACAAACAATTATGCCATGAGTAGGGATGCTGGATGATTGTTAAAACATGAGACTTATCAAAATGCAAATAGGAAATAACACCTATGTAAGTATACTCTGGTTTTGACCCTGCATTCTTAGTTGTGTGAGATATACATGGTTGATATCAACTAATTATGCATATTGCAATTATATTCCCTTAATTAATGGGGCTAACCTTTATGAATTGAGTATAGGATTTAGATGCATAGTGTTTCGCTGGGAACATGAAGACTGCATTTGGGAGTGTGCATTAAATGTATTTGATGCATCAACATTTTTTTTACTTAAAATAACCCCAAAGGTTTGGCCTTTCTGTATTCTCATATAGCATTCAACCAACAACATGCCATTAGGTCTCCGTTCTCTACACAAACTAAAACAAATATTAAGTCCTTTAAACCAATAAGTAATGATAATTACATTATTGTCTTTCCCAATACACAACAAATTGGAACAAAAACTATATATATATAACACTTCCATTGCTTATTTCTCTTTCTTAGATGAAATTATCCGTATGTCAAATAAACCATAGTGGATAATTTCACTTCATTATATATAACACTTCCACATGCTTATTTCACTTCATTATTTTTTGCATTCCAGTTGGTCTTTGTTTCGTTCTCAGATAGTTATCAGCATAGAGAAAGTAAAATTCCGTTCTTGGCTCTCTTTTTTGTTACTGTAGCATCTGCTTATCTGTTAGTGTAAATTTGCGTTATGTTGGATTTTTCAATTTGATTCTCCAATATATTTTTTTGATGACAAACTGTTCTAATCAGTAATTCCCCACTCTGAGAACTTGAGACCTTCGACTGATATGCATTTCTGAGATTTTCTGGTATACTCACAGACCCCTGAGATTTTTGTGTCTCCACAGTTCTCCAGCCAATGACAGACCCCTGGTTGCCATACTTTCGTTGCACGCAGATCTTCTGGTATACTCACTAAGCGTAAATTTAATGGTTTACAGAAACTTTTAATAGTTCCATCCTAAATATCTTCCTTTATTCTTGATGCCATGCTACTTGCTCGACCCTTTCTTGCATCAGTTGTGTCACCTAAAATTAAAATGAAATGAAATAGTTTCCCTACATGCTTAATGTTGTGAATGCCGGTGATGTTAGAAATTTAGTGTTGTTGCTCTCTTTAATATATCCGTACTCATGTGTTTTACAGATGCGCAGTTCAAAAGAACTGGTTACTGCTTGGGTGAGAGGTGTATAATTTCATTAAAAAAAAAAAAAAAAAAAAACTGTTTTGGTTTCTGGTGGTGAATTGTCTGTATTCTTGCCTTGGAGTTGGATGCACTTTGTGTAATGGATTGTGATTTGTTTGAAAATATCTTTAGTGATGATCGAGTATAATGTGTTTTCCTAATACTGTTTTTCTCCCCCTTTGTAGTCCAGTCGTGCAGAAGACATCTCCATTAACCGGTAACAGATGAAATCGTTTGCTGTCGAGGTTCCCGTGAAGAAGAGCGAAAATGCTGCAAGTGGAGGATAGATAACAGCTCAAGACACATGGTATGAGGGTGCAGGGTAAACTGTACATATGCATCTGGAAAAAGTAAAAAGTTAAGGCTGTTTGGTTGTAGCTTCTCCTTCTCACCACAACAGAAAATACTTTTGAACTGCATTAAGCTGTTAAAAAATTAAGCTTAAGCTATATTTTACTTATCAAAAATGGGTTACCTGTCACTTTTACAAAGTTTTTTGGTAAATTAGATATATAGTTTAATTCGAAGAGTTGTATTGACCTTTACTTATGTTAAATTATATAGTTTAATTACGTCCCCTTTGTCCAATCCCTATATATCTGCTCAACTCTTGGGTCAATTATTTGCCAGTAGGAATGTTTAATTGCTTGATCAATGATGTCGGTTCAATTTGCAAAAATAGGACTTTTGTTCAATAGGGATTGAGACTCTCACATATGAGTAAGATGTCTCAATCGTTCATTGATTCCTAGGTGCTACGTCTTTTTAGTTGCTTTGTGTGAAAACTATTCATGCCTGTTGCAACTAATACATTCAAGTCCCGCAGCAACGCGCGGGCATATTTTCTCGTATTATCTATTAGCAGGATACCCAGAATCTTTAAACTATTTTTAACGGAGTACTAAAGTTTGGCGTGATTATTTTTCTATTTGTCTGCCTAACACACCGAATAATTAGCAAATTCAGTTACGATTGAGTACGATCGCGATTCGATAACTTTAATATTGTTAATGTGTAAAATCTTGAGGCCGAGCTGGCTTTAGCCTCTGGTTCCCAGCGCCAACCCTGTTAGACAAATAAGGAATATGGTTGGAGTCCTTGTGTAATTGTATATAATATTATTCACTAGCCGTCCTACAGCCGTCCTACCTTGTCCTAGCTACACACTAGTCGTCCTACAGCCGTCAAGTCGTCCTACAGCCGTCCTACCTTGTCCTACCTACACACTAGCCGTCCTACACCCGTCCTACCTTGTCATACCTACACACTAGGACGGCTACCTTGTCCTACCTACACACTTGTATCATGTATATATATCCTTGTAATCTTGTAGAGAAAGACAATGAGAAAAAAAGCATTCTCTTCCATTTTTTTTCACATTCACGTATCAATAACAAATATATTTTTTAGCCTACATACCTTTTTCTACATGGTATATAGAGCAGGTTTATAACCCTCGCCCTAATTTTTTTTCGGCAGCTTTCTCTGCCGTTCCCATGGCTGACTCTTCTTCTTCCGATGGTGTTTTTTCCCTTCATCATTCCGACCACCCGAATCTTGTCCTTGTATCCAAGAAGTTGAATGGTGATAACTACACATCCTGGGCCTGTGGCATGCAACTTTCCTTGAGTGCCAAGAATAAACTTGGTTTCATCACTAGCGATATCCAAGAACCTTCTTCCTCCGACGACCCTAATCACGCGGCTTGGCATCGTTGCAATGACATGATTCTCTCTTGGCTTCTGCATTCCTTGGAACCTGACCTTCAAGAATCTGTGCTTTTTTCCACCTCTGTCCAAGCTGTATGGATGATCTTCGCGAACGCTTCTCTCAGAGTAATGCTTCACGCATCTTCCAACTCAACCGGGAACTTGCTACAATTTCTCAAGGTTCTTCTTCTATCTCCGCCTATTTTACTCGCCTGAAAGCTCTCTGGGATGAGCTTGTTTCTTATAATGATGGCTGCACGTGCTCTTGCAACGCCAAGCATGACCGTCAACAACTCATGCAATTTTTAATGGGCCTCAACGAATCATTTGCTGCTGTTCGTGACCAGATTTTTTTAATGAATCCCCTCCCCACTGTTCGTCAGGCCTGTTCCTCGGTGTCTCAAGCTGAAAAACAACGCTCCCTGGGCGTCCTCCGCTCTGTCGATCAACCTACTGCCATGGCTGTTCGTGGCCCGTCCCGTCCCTCTTCTGCTTGTCCTCCCCTCCACTGCACCTACTGCAATTTTGATTATCATACCCGAGACACCTGCCATAAACTTCATGGCTATACCGTTGGCCATCCCCTCCATGGCCAACCGTGGCGACCACCGCACCGTGCCACTGCTTCTAGTTCTTCCCGCAGCCATGCACCTTCCAGTCCTCCCCGGCAGCCACGGTTTTCTGCTTCCCGGCCCCATAATTTCACCCAGGCCCATCACGTGCAAGGCACCCAGGCCCCCGCCTCATCTTCTACTCCAGCGACCCACCAAGTGCACAGGGCCCAGCCCACTTTGCATGACTTGCAGCTTGCCATGCCTGACCTCTCTGCCGAGCAGCACTCCCGTGTTCTAGCTGCTCTATGTGACACCACCACCCCTCCTCAGGCCAATGCCGTGCTCACTACTGATTTTGCCCAAGGTTTGTTACCTGTCACCTCTCGTCATGGTCAATGGATTCTTGACAGTGGTGCTACGGATCATATTACTTCTTCCGCCTCATGTTTGGTTAATCGTTCTCCTTCACATTTGCCGCCTGTTTCTTTGCCTAGTGGTGTTTCCGCTCCCATTACTTTTACCGGCACTCTTCCTTTAAATTCATCAGTTACTTTGAAGGATGTTTTATGTGTCCTTAATTTCCGAGTGGACCTTTTATCGGTTGGTAAACTTACAGATGGATTATCCTGTTCCATAACCTTCTTTCCTTCTTGGTGTGTTTTGCAAGACTTGGTTTCGAAGGCGATGATTGGTGTGGGTAAGCGACGTGGCGATCTGTATTACCTTGTGGCCCTTACCTCTTCTCTCCCCACCCGTCAACCTCTCTGCAACATCATTACCATCCCCTCCTCCCTCTGGCATAGGCGTCTTGGTCACCCCTCATCCACTCGTTTGCAAGCTTTAGCATCTAGCTCTCTTAATTGTCCTTTTGATTCTAGTCATATTTGTGATGTTTGTCCGTTGGCAAAACAAACTCGTCAACCTTTTCTTTTGAGTTCAATTTCATCAACTTTCCCTTTTGCTTTAATTTATTGTGATATTTGGGGCCCGAATCGTCAATCTTCTCTTTCTGGTGCTCATTATTTCTTAACCATTGTGGATGATTTTTCTCGTTTTACGTGGGTCTTCCTCATGAAACATAAATCCGACACTCAACAATTAATTAAGGATTTTTTTGCTTATGTCACTACCCAATTCTGCACTACCATCCAATGCATTCGTACTGACAATGGTGGTGAATTTTTATCTCTTCGTAGTTTTTTCTCTGATCATGGGCTGCTTTTACAAACTTCTTGTGTTTATACCCCCCAACAAAATGGCGTTGTTGAAAGAAAACATCGTCATCTTCTTAAAACCGCTCGCGCCCTTCGTTTTCAATCCCATCTTCCTATCAAGTTTTGGGGGGAATGTGTTCTTACCACTACTTATCTCATCAATTGTCTCCCTACCCGTCTTCTCCATCATAAATCCCCATTTGAGGTTCTCTTTTCGCAAACCCCATCTTATGACCACTTCCGCGTCTTTGGTTGTTTGGCATATGCCACCTCTGTCACTCCCACCACCAAATTTTCCCCTCGGGCTCATTTTTGCATTTTTCTCGGTTATCCTCATGTACAAAAGGCCTATACCCTTTACGATCTCGACAATCACCGCATTTTCACTAATCGAGACGTCATCTTTCACGAAACTACTTTCCCTTATGCCGTTTCTCACCCTCCTATCCCATCCTCTTCGCCTACCCTACCCATCCCACCCCCTCTGGACTTTACATATAACCCACCCCTTCCTGCCCCGACGCCTCACCCTCCTCCACCTTCCTCCCCTTCCACGCCTCCCACAGATTCCCTTGCTGCCCCATTACCCGTTCCTCCCCATGCCCCTTTACCCATGGACATCCCTACCCCCCCCCCCCCCACTACCTACCGATCCTCCCCTTCCCCGCACCTTTTCCCGTGCCCATAAACCTCCATCCTATTTAAAAGACTACGTTTGCTCGCAGGTGATTCTGCCATCCCACCCATCTTCGACTTCGCAACCCGGTTCTACACAAGGTACGCGATATCCACTTTGTAATTTTCTCTCTTATCACCGTTACTCTCCCAGGCATTTTTCTTACATTAACTCTGTCAGTCGGACTGTGGAGCCTTCCTCCTTTGCCGAGGCTGCCACTAACCCCAATTGGCAACGTGCTATGACTGAGGAGCTTCAAGCTTTACATGCTAATGGTACTTGGACTTTAACTTCCTTGCCCCCTGGCAAAATTCCCATTGGTTGTAAGTGGGTGTACAAACTCAAGCACAATTCCGACGGCTCTATTGACCGTTACAAAGCTCGTTTGGTTGCTAAAGGCTTCACTCAGGCTGAAGGTATTGATTATCATGACACTTTTTCTCCTACTGCTAAGATGATTACGGTGTGTTGTCTTCTTGCTCTTGCTGCTAGTCAGTCTTGGTCTCTTCATCAGCTTGATGTTAATAATACTTTCTTACATGGTGACTTACATGAAGAAATCTTTATGTCTCCTCCTCCTGGTCTTCGGCGACAGGGGGAGAATCTTGTGTGTCGCCTTCACAAGTCACTTTATGGTCTTAAGCAGGCTTCTCGCGAATGGTTTGCCAAATTCACTAGTGCCATCATTTCTGCCGGTTTTCAACAATCCAAAGCTGACTATTCATTGTTCACTAAAAAGTTTGGTATTTCTTTCACATCTTTGCTCATTTATGTGGATGATATTGTGATTACAGGCAATGATGCTAGTGCCATTAATTCTCTGAAGTCTTTTCTCCGTGATCATTTTCGGATAAAAGACCTTGGTGATTTAAAATATTTTTTGGGTATTGAGGTTTCTCGTTCCAAACAAGGGATTTATATTTCTCAACGCAAGTATGCATTAGAGATTCTCAAGGACTATGGTTTTTTGGGAGCACGACCCATTGCTTTTCCTATAGATGACACAAAATTATCTGATAAAGGAGAACTTCTCAAGGATCCTGAAAAGTATCGACGATTAGTAGGTCGGTTAATATATCTCACTATCACTCGGCCGGATATCACCTATTCTGTGCATGTTCTAAGCCGTTTTATGCACGAGCCAAGGATATCTCATATGGATGCTGCGCTTCGTATTGTTCGTTATTTGAAGGCTACTCCAGGTCAAGGTTTATTATTTCGTTCTGACAACCAGACCAAGTTAACTGCGTTTTGTGATTCTGATTGGGCAGGTTGCCCTATCACTCGCCGTTCGACTACTGGGTATTGTGTATTCTTGGGCGGTTCTTTGATTTCTTGGCGGACGAAACGACAGAAAACCGTTTCGCTCTCTTCAGCAGAGACGGAATATAGGGCCATGGCAGGTGCTTGTTGCGAGAT